TTTTTCAAGTCTTTGTTCATAATGTCTCTTGTTCGTCTTATCGTCGCAATATTTCCAGTAAAACCATTTTGCAATCCTCCATTTTGTACTTCATGTGAACTACTTTCCACAAAAACAGATATTTTTTTTTTTTTTTACACAACTGTCTCTAAAAAACACTTTAAGTATTCCTACATATTAACTTCCAATGCAACATCTTTACACCAAGAAACCTTCTCAATATTACATGATTTTTGTAAATTTCAATTTCACATACTTTTCGTTACGTTTTTGTAGTTCTCTGTAGTTGGAATAAAATCCCATGATTTTCTGAATGCTATATTTCAATCAACTTGGGAAAAATCCACGTAATTCTTAGAAAACACTTGTAGCCAAAAATACTTTGTAGCTTTGGTAATTATTACATGAGTTTTGCCAATATCTTTGTTTGTGGAATATTGAATTTGTGAATGTTTATGTGAGTTCTGTACTGGTGAACATTAAGTTGCATTCGGCGAAATCCTTGTTGCCAAAATGTTGTAACCTAGAAAAGGTTACTGAATAAGAATAACCTAAACAAAGGTTTGAAATGGAACGTTAATCTTTATAACATTAACAACATACAAAATTTGCAGGCGGCATGTATTAAGTCATCCACTATTAGTGGTGAAGCCCACAGACAGTATATTCCACTGTATTTATAAGTATTGGGACATTCAGCAGTATGGAATCTTTCCTCACTGCAAACTGCCCGGATATACTGGCTCTGTGTGAGACAAACCTTGTCTTGTCTATTCCCTCCTCTGATCTCTCGATCCCTGGCTACCTTCCTCTCCTCAGGAAAGACTCTCTAACCCACATGCATGGCCTTGGTGCCTATGTCAAGGACCATCTCCCCCTGGCCAGAGAGTTGTCTCTCGAATCGCTAGACCATTCATACATGTGTCTCCGACTATCTCTCCTCAATGCCGTAAACTATCTCTTCTTCCTCTATCGCTCTCCATCTTCTCAAGACTGTGGGATACTAGATAGCATATCTGACAGCATAGATAAGGCCCTCTCTCTCCACCCTTTTGCTCACATATTCGTGTTTGGTGACTTCAATGCCCATCATACCAAGTGGCTCGAGAATGCTACTACTGACCGGGCTGGTATTCAAACACTTTTCTCAAATTCTCAATGCCTCACGCAGATAGTTGACTTCCCCATACATTTTGCCCTCAACCTGGCAGGTAAGGCCTCCCTTCTTGATCTGTATTTTACCTCCATCCCCGAATCTTGTAGCGCCACACAGCTCTGCCCTCTTGGTAACTCCGATCATGCCGTGGTATCTGTCAACATTTCCTTCAACTCCACACCCCGCAAAGAACCTCCCATCACTAGAACCTCATTCTACTATCAACGAGAGGATTGGGACTCGTTCCGTGTCTTCCTCCGCGATGTCCCCTGGGATGTTGTCTTTACACTCCCTGTCCAAGAATGTGCTTCTGAGGTCTCATCCTGGGTTAAAGCTGGAATCGACGCTTTCATCCCCTCAAGGAAATTTAAGGTCAAGTCACACTCCTCCGACATGTCAGCCTGCAATAGACGTCTCTTTGCCTCTGCCGTAATGAGTGTAAGCGTGTCCTCAACGAAGCTAAGCCAATATTTGCTGCTTTCGGATGAAGGAGCGTGTGCATCTGCAAATTTGGCTCCAAAAGATTATTGGCGGGTCTGCAAGAGTGTCTTGAACAATAGAAAACCCTCTATACCTCCTTTATTCAACCAGTTCGAGGTCTTGACCTCCTCTACCGACAAGGCTGAATGCTTTGCACGGAAATTCTCATTTAATTCAACACTCGACTCCACCGATGTACCCATACCAGACTTCCCTCCAAGAACTGAGGCCCTATTGAGCGGCTTACACATAACCCCGTCATTGGTACTGGGCATTATCTCCAACTTAGACCCCCACAAGGCTAGTGGTGGAGATGGCATACCAGCCATTGTCTTGAAGAAATGCGCGCCTGAGCTAGCGCCCACCCTCTCTAAACTGTATAATTACTGCCTCAAGGAATCCTGTTTTCCTGACTGCTGGAAGTCCTCATCCATTGTTCCTGTCTTTAAGAACTCTGGAGACCTCTCTGAACCCTCTAATTACCATCCTATTAGTCTCCTACCCCTCTTCGGCAAAGTCTTCGAAGCCCTAATCAATGCCTAAGTGGTTAACCACCTTACATCCCATAATCTGCTCTCAGACAAGCAATATGGTCTACAGCTGATGTGCTTATGGCCATCACTGAAACCGTCTACCAAGCCCTTCAAAATAACGGTGAGGCTCGTGCTGTGGCCCTAGACATCTCCAAAGCGTTTGATAGGGTTTGGCATGCCGGCCTTCTTCATAAGCTCCAGGGTTATGGTATTACTGGTCGACTGTTTGATCTAATACAATCATTCCTGTCAAATCGAGAATTGAAGGTCGTTCTCAATGGATTCTCCTCCAGTTCCTATCCCACGAATGCAGGTGTTCCCCAAGGCTCCATCCTTGGTCCCTCTTTTTCCTTATTTTCATCAATGACCTTCCTGGCGCCATAGATTCCCAAGTTGGCATCTACGGCAGACGGCACTTCAATTCTCCTGCCTCAAAAATAAATCTAGTGTCGGCACAAAAACTAACCTGGCCGTGCGTCTTGAAATGGACCTCCAATTGGTTGTTAACTGGGGCAAGAATTGGCTGGTCAACTTTAACGCCTCAAAAACTAAACTACTCTCCATTAACCACCATAGAGATCCTTCCCTGCCCCTCATTAAAATGTCTGATAGTCAACTTCCTGAGAGCAACTCCCTGCGTCTGCTCGGTCTCACGTTGACTGCTGACCTGAGATGGAACAAATACATTGAGTCAATTGCTTCTTCCACTGCGAGGAAAGTTGGCTCTCTGTGCCGCGCCAGGAAATTTTTCTCCCCTGAATCGATACTTCAAATATGCAAACAACCATTTGCCCTTGAATGGAGTATTGCTGCCATATATGGTCTGGGGCACCTTCTGCTTACCTCGGAGTTCTTGACAAGATCCAGAGACGGATATGTAATCTAATTGGCCCTGATCTGGCGTCTCGTCTGCAGTCACTCTCTCACAGACGCACCGTCGCCTCTCTCTGTCTTTTCTACAAATACTTTCATGATAATTGCTCCGATGAGCTGCTTTCACTGGTTCCCAGACTCCATGAATTCAAGCGCCCTACGACGCTGGCATCGCACTCCCACCCTTACACTATAGAAATTTTTAAATGTAGTCGTCTCTTCTACTCCAATAGCTTCATACCTCGCACCTCTCGCCTGTGGAACACCCTTCCCAATTACTGTTTCCCTGAAAGCTATATTCTCCAACTATTCAAATGTAATGTCAATCAACACCTCCAGTTACCTTGATCTACCCACTATCCTTCTCCTCGTCCTTTCTTCTATCACTCCTATCTGCTCTTGCTCCAAATCTTCCGCAACCCCCTGCATCCTAGTGGCTTCACGCCTTGCTCGGGGCGTAATGATTAAAAAAAAAACAAAAACAATACCCATTATAGTCCATATGTACAGTATAACAGTCCTATAGCAACCTCCTACCTCCTTTGTCCTATAGCAATCGGCTTCCCCCTTTGACCTGTTGCCATCTGCTTCCCCCCTTTGTCCTGTTGCAAACTGCTTCCCCCTTTGTCCTGTTGCCATCTGCTTCCCCCTTTGTCCTGTTGCAAACTGCTTCCCCCTTTGTCCTGTTGCAAACTGCTTCCCCCTTTGTCCTGTTGCAAACTGCAATCTCCTTCCTCCTTTGTCCTAGAGCAGTCCCCTTCCTCCTGTTGCAACCTGCTTCCTTCTATTGCTATCTGCTTCCTCCTTTCTTCTATTCCATTCTGCTGCCTTGTTTCTCCTATTGCATCATAGAATGTTAATTGAATTACTACAAATATATTACTACAAGGTATTTTGGCACATTGACCAACCAATTTGACCCAAAACTAATACCAGAGTTTGATGGCTATGATCCTGAAAAATCCATTACTACAATCTCCTTTCTGCTCACTCCTGTCTCCTATAGCAATCTGCTTACTCCTGTCTCCTATTTGTGTTTGTATTTGTCTTGTCTGGTTTTTACACATCAGCACATTGAGAGTGCTTCTCTCAACTGAGAAAAACACTGGTGTTATATAGTTCTCCCAGTCCCAGACCCATGCTGACTATTGGCTAAAATAGAAAACGGCCTACCTCACAAACGCTCTCGTATCTGCCTGGCCTGTGGGTTGAGAAAGGAAAGAAAAGATCCAAGATGGCGTCCGTGACTTTTAATATTCACGGTCTCGTGCAGTCACGCAAAGTCGCGTTACACACATGCTAATGAGGTGTGTCTGGGCTCCATAAAAGCAGGTTGCTTGGAGACATTGGCAGAGCGGCATTACACCCGTGTTTGGTGTACACGGCTTTGCGTTGCAGCGTGTCAGACATTTTCAGACGGAAAGAGTTGCGTCCCTTACACTGTTGAAGTCGACTCATTTGCTACACTGTCCAATATCATTTAAATAGTCAGTGCCATCTACTCTAAAGACTTCACTCCACACAGCCTGCCAATGAGTTCCAGCTTTTCTATCCATTCAACCATACGCCAATCTATTATACTTGGGAATTAATTTTAAATCAAATTTGGAGTCTGTCATCATTTGTCAATCGCTGAATTAGCTTGTTTCATCTTGTCTGGTTTTTGCATGTCCGTACATTGAGATCGCTTCTCTTGATGGAGAAAAATACTGGTGTTATGTAACTTTCCCAGTCCCAGATCCACAGTGACTATTGGTGAATACCTGCCCAGTATCGTTCATATGCAAATAGTGCCATCTACTCTAAGTAGACGGTCTTCTCTCCACAGCACATTGTGGAAGGGGACGCAACTCCTGGAGCTTACAGCACCACATACAACCAACTCGGATTATTTTATTGGGCTGACACGATTCTCTTTTACACTATTGCAAACTGCTTCTTCCTTTTTCTTATTGCAAATGGCTTCCTCCGATATCCTATTTCAAACATTTTCATCATTTTCCTTATTGCAACCTCCTTCCTCCTGTAACAGTCTGCTTCCTCTTTTCTCCTGTAGCAGTCTGCTTCCACCTTCCTCCTATTGCAATGTACTTCCTCTTTTTTCATACAGTAATCTGCTTCCTCCTTTCTTCTATTGCAACTCGCTTCCTCCTATAGCAGTCTGCTTCCTCTTTCCTCCTATAACAGTCTGCTTCCTCCCACAGCAATCTGTTTTCTTCTTTCTGCTGTAGCAATCTCTCCCTTCTTTCTTTCTCCAATAGAAATCTGCTTCCTCCTTTCTCTCATAGTATTCTGCTTTCTCCTTTAATATTCTACTTCCTTGTCTCTCCTCTAGGAATATGCTTTCTTCTCTCGCAATCTGCTTCCTTCCGTCTCCTGTAGCAGTCTGCTTCCTCCCGTCTCTTATAGCAGTCTGCTTCCTCCCGTCTCCTATAGCAGTCTGCTTCCTCTTTTCTCTTAGTGCAACTGCCTTCCTTCCATAGCAATTTGCTTCCTCTTTTCTCTCATAGTATTCTGGTTTCTCCTTTAATATTCTATTCCTTGTCCCTCCTCTGGCAATGTGCTTTCTTCTCTTGCAATCTGCTTCCTCGTTTCTCCTATAGCAATCTACATGCTTGTTTCTTCTATAGCACTGCTTTCTCCTTTACTAATCTACTTCCTTTTTTCTCCTCTAGCAATCAGTGTTATGTATTTAAAAGCAATTCACTGCAGCATGAACATAAAATGGAAACCTGCATTTTATCACCATCACTGAACTGACATCCAAACATGAAAAGGGAAATAGGAATATTCATTTATAGCCATTAGCGAATACTCATTATGAATATTAAGCGCCCTTTAAAATCTATGCTTAACCGGTCCATGGGACCCAATGCCTTTTTTTAGTTCTCCCAGGGCAGAAGGTTTTAAGAAATTTGCCTTCAGTTCAGAGTAAATTTGACACTGAGTGCAAAACTTTTCCACATCTTCCATTGAATATTGATTGTTTTTTTGCATTTAACAAAGTGTAACATCCATGCAACCTCTGGGTGACATAAACTACTATAAAGTTCATTTAGAGATGAACTTGTTATGGCTGCACAGTGAGCTCCTGTTAGGGCATCCAGGACAACACTGTCTGGCTCAGGTCTGTATGTGATTGAATAACTAAATTTACCCTTCTCCGCTTTCTAATTTTGCTGTTCTTAACCTTTGTTCACTTTCTATTGTCAAACACTAATGCAACAGAATTTTGATCAGTTATTAGAATGAAGTGATTGCACAACAGTAAGTGTTGTCACTTTCTAAAAGCTTCAATGATAGCTGTAGCTTCCTTTTTCACTAAAGAGTAGTTTAATTCACTCTTATTTAGGCTGCTTGACATGAAGGCAATGGGACAGACATTTTGATTAAGAGTTGCAGACACAGCAATATTGAAGGCATCACATTCTACTAAAAAAGGAATACTTTTTTCAATAAAGCTAAGTGTTGCAGAGCACCATTCCTGTTTGAGCTCATTAAAAGTCCCTAAAGCTTCTTTACTCATCAGAAAAGATTTAGCATTGATCAATGGATGGATTTTATTAGAAAGTGAAGGAATCCATTTGGAATATTATGAAAATATACCCAAGGTCTACCCCAGCGAGACAGCATCTGATGTAAGTGGCAACATCTGGTGTGAGTGTAGGCAGCCAGGATCTGGTCAAATAGTATTGTGGTTTACATTATACCCGAGTATTTTAATAGACTCGGAAGATGTTACAGACTTTGATTCATTGGATGTATGACACCATTTTTGTGCTGCTTGTTGGAATTTCTGACAATTCTGATCATGGTGTTTTTGATTGGTAATGTTGTCTATGTAATGTTCATCAATGGTAATGTTGTCTATGTAAGGTTCTCTTTTTGTACAAATTCCTCCATTGCCCTTTGAAACATAGAGATCCCATTGTTTACACCAAAGGGAAACCTACAAAACTGGTATAGATTGCCATTGGCTTCAAAGGCAGTAAACTTTTTATCTGCCTCAATTATTGGGATCTGATGGTAGGTGCACTTCAGGTCAAGAGTTGAAAATACTTTGTACCTTGCCAGACTGTTTATCATATCAATCCGAGGCATAGAGTAGGTATCCAACTGTATATATAGATTAACTGTTTTGGAATAATCTACAGAGAGCTGTTTATTATGCTTATTAGTAAGATCCTTTGCAACAACTAACTGGTCTGTCCATGATAATTAGCAGGATTCAGTGATATTATCTGAGAGTAACTGGGGAATTTTCCTCTCATTGAATGATTGATCATCTCTACTAAAATGCTGAGATTTGTTAGCATTTACCTTAGCTACAGCAAGAACACTGTGCATTTCTTTGACTAACACTGAAATTGTCTTTGTTCCCACCATAAGTGAAGAGTAGGGTTTTGTGTAGCTTCCGAAACTCATATCCAAGAATTATCACCACATTATCCAAAACCCCAAATTTCTTTTTTGCATATATCGGGCAACCTACTTCAATATCAGTAATGCAAACATTGGTATAGTTGGCATCTATGGCTTTAAGAGCTATAGCTACATTTTTTTTGTACAGGGGTGAATTTTCAGGCTTAATAGATTGAATAAAGTTTTCTGAAGTACAAGAGTCTATAAGAGCAGTGAAATGTCTGCCTTTTATAGTGATCATTGTAGTTCCATGAGAGAGATTTGGGGATCCAGGATTACACACAAATTTGGTTTAATATTAAACATCATGGCCATCGTCCCAGGTGACTTGGTCTTAGATTGGCAAAGTTTTGATAAGTGTCTGTTTTTCCCACAATTAGAACATGTGACACTACAAGCAGGACAGACTTTCTGATTATGAACTGTGTTACTACAAGGTTTGCACTTAATTTGGTGATATACTTTTGGCAGGGCTAGAGTTGTGGGGCTATCTTTTGAACAGTCACTCTTGGTTCCAAAAGCTGTTACTACACCTGAGGCTAACAAAGTACTTGTAGGAGAGTAAAGTTGTGAATTTCTTAGGGTGATATCAAGTGCATGTGCTTGGCCAATGATAGATCCAGTACTGAATTTTCCAGCAATCACTGCTTAATATAATTGAATGAAATCCTACTTATGCAGGCATCTTTGATTTGCTCTTCTCTGTATTGTTCAACCATGATGTTTTTTATATATATATATATATATATATATATATTTTTTTTTTTAGCATTTTGCTAGCAAGGGGTTACAGGGAGTGAAGATAAGAAAAAAGACTGATTATAGGAGAGATTAAGGAAAGGATAAAAAGAAGAATGACGATCAAAGCATCAGAAGATGACAATTGACATTACATTTAAATTTTTGAAGATTGTGGTTTTCAGGGAAGCATATAAAAGGAAGAGATTTCCGATGTTTGGACATACGAGAGAAGAAGTAGCTGGAGTAGAAGAGGCAGTTATATTCAACTGTTTCAACAGTAAAAGAGTGGGACCTAGGTGCCAACCTAGTAGCACACCTAAATTCATGCAGACAGGCCAAATAGCTCGAGATGACAATAACCTTAAAGGCTTTATTTAGCAAAAGAAACTGAACAAAATGTCACTATTGGTGTCTCTCTACATAATCCCCCTTCCCAAAATACAGCATAATTTATAAATAATAATAATAATAAATATAAAAAAGAAATATTTTTGCTATGGCTTTAAAAAAAAAAAGCAAAACATTTATGATAATTTCCATCATTTGTGAATAGTTTCTGAAAGTTTCATTAATATCTGACAATTATTTTTATTTTTGCAAGATTTTGCAAATTAATGTCTGTCATACAAAAAAAAATGCGCTAAAATTTTATGTTATTTAGTAGTTCTGCTGATACAAAGAGGAACAAGGTTTTTTTTAATCAAAAGTTAGAATGTTCTAAAAAGAAGGAAAAATTTTTAAAAAAATAATTAAAAAATACTTTGTTCTTTCTTCTTAATAATAACATAAACATTTAGATGATAAAATTTTGTTTTTGTCAAGTTTGGCGTCTTCTTCATCATACTATGCTTTTTTTTTCTCAAGCAATTTCATGGAGGTACCTATATTAAATCATTGTTAGGTATGCTACTAGAAGAGTTGATTCACTGTGTCATTCCAGATAATTTTTCTCATCAGAATCCATCTTGTACATTTATAAATATGCCATTTGTCCGTACATTGAATATTGCTGCCATATCTAGTCTGGTGCTCCTGCTATATATCTCAAGATTCTCAACACAATCCAAATAAGGGTCTGTAATTTTATTGATCCTAGCCTGGCATCTCGACTTCAACCACTTTCTCATTGTTGTGACATGGCTTCCCTATGTCTTTCCTATAAATATTTTTATAGCAAATGTTTTGACAGCATGAATTTAAGCGTACTACAAGATTGGCAGCTAGGTCTCATCATTTTACTGTTGAAATACTAAAAGATGTAACTCTGTGTTTTATTCTAATAGTTTCTTATAACAAACATCAAAACCAGCATGCATCTATTTATTTACCATCAAATCATGTGACACATATAGACTCTTCACCTTTCAAGTACTTGTTTATAAAAAAAAGTTATCGTGTAGTGAATTGTATAAATATATGTTGTGCTATGCTTATATAAATTTATTTAGTAATATTGTTATGTATTATAAATTATTTTTCACACATATGAAAGTGTTTATATATGTGGATTGATGTATTTTTTTTTTTAATCAGATCACCCCAAGTGAGGTAGTACAGCCACTAGCATGCAAGGAGTTACAGGGTGTGGAGGAATTAGGAACAGAAACCCTAGTAATGAGGAGAAAGAAAAGAATAATCAGGAGGACAGTAGATAGTGATTGACATTGCATTTAAATTTTTGCAGATTCAAGTTGGTTGGAGAGTATGGAGCTGTGAAGGAGTTCCACAAGCAAGAAGTGTGGGATAAGATACTGTTAGCATAGAAGTTACGGCTACATCTCACTAGTTCAACTATAAATTGATGAGATCTCGTTGCTTGTCTAGTATTGTGCTTAAATTCATACAGTCTGAGTACCATAGTGAAGAGCCCATCCAAACAATTACCATGGAATATTTATAAAAAAAAAAAATAGGCAACCTTATGGTGGTGGGCAAGGGACTGAAGCCTAGCCACCAGATCAAGACCAATAATATTGCTGATTCTTTTTTAGATCTTATCAAGGAGATCCAGGAAAATATCAGGGGTGCCAGACCATATATGGCAGCAATATTCTAAGCATTGATGAATGGTAGATTTATAGATATATTCCAGAGAGAAAAATTGTCTTGGCTGACACAGTGAACTGATTTTCTTTGCAGTTGGGAACATTAACCCAAGAAGGTACAATAAGTCACTCTCTTGGAAGATAGCATCAGCCATGCTGATGGAAGAGAGAGGCCCCAAAACAGGCAGAAGGCTAATAGGCCAATAGTTGGATGGTTCAGATGGTTCACTAGAGTTCTTAAAAACTGGTACAACAGATGATGACTTCCGAAAGCAGGAGGCAGTGAGGCACTTATACAGTTTAGGGAGAACTGTAGCTAGTTCAGGAGCACACTTCTTGATGACTATAACAAGGATGTCCAATGACATCCTTGTTCACATGCTTTGTGGGGATCAAGGTTAGAGATGATAGCAGAAACAATGGAGGGGTTTATGTGCATATCACTCAATAGCAAATCAGTTCTAAGTAGGAAATTAGGCAGGGATACTCCAGATGAGTCAAGAGTAGAATTTGAGAATTTATAGGCAAAGCATTCGGCTTTATCAGAAGAGGATGATAACACCTCAAATCGATTGAAGAGGTGAAGAATAGAGACCTTACACTTATTGAATACCCTATTACAGAGACACCAGTAGTCACAAGAGCCAAAGTTTTTAGAGGCTATGCAGTGCCTCATTCTCTCAGCGAACAGAGACTTAGTTTTTTCGAGGACATGCTTACCTTTGTTATGAGCAGGAGTAAATAGACACCTGTTATGACAAGAGCTGTTATGCTTGTATAGCCAGAAATAGTGGTGTCTGTGTGCTATGGTGGCTAAGCATGCTGGTATGAACTATGGAGAGGATTGGTTTCACCTGGTATTCATGAGAAGAGATGAAAGCATCTATGCCAGCTTCGGTGGTAAAATTCTCAGTTGGGAAGTTGAAGATGTCAGTCCAAGGGGCACCACAAAGAAAATCTCAAAATGAGTCCCAGTCAGCATGCTGGTACCAGAAAGAAGATAGGGAGCTTCCTGTTTAATGGATACCTGAGATATCAAAAGCTATCATGGAGTGGTTGGAGTTACCAAGAGGGCAGTATTGTGAAGCTTGGTAATAGTGGGGAGAGGTCAGAAATAGATCCAATAGAGAAGCATGTTGCTCGCTTTGGCTAGGGAAATGAGTAGAGAAGTCCATGATTTGAGTGAGGGATAGGGCAATAGAAAAACTTAATGTATGTATACCGGCAACATCAGTACCATTAGAATGTTTTAGCCATGTGTCATGGTGAGCATTAAAGTCACCAAAGACAAAGATGTTTGCAGATGGATGGAGAGAAAGTGCCTTTTCTATACTGTCAGCTATTGCATCTGATATAGTGCAGTCTTGGGAAGAGAGGGAGCAATAAATGAAAAAGAGATAGCTGACAGAGTTTAGTAGCAAAAGACAGAAGCACATGAAAGAGTAGTCAGTGACCTCGAGAGACAATTCTCTGGCCATCAGAAGATTATTCTGGATTTAAACACCAAGGCCATGCATGTTAATGCTGGAATCATTTTGATAAATGGGGAAGATAACCTGGAACCAAGAATTCATTGGTAGCAATGGAAGAATTCAAGTTGGTTTTGCAGAGGCCAAAGATATATGGCAACTTTTCCAGGAGAAAAGATTCTACACTGCAGAAGTTGGAACGGATACAGCGAATATTTGAGAAAGAAACATTGAGGTTGGGGTTTTGTTAGCTGGTTTAGTTTTATTTCTTTTTGTTGTGATTTCCATGAGATATGTTTTGAAGAGAGAGAAAGAGAAAGACCACCATAATTGTCACTGTCATCAAAAGCGATACAAATCAGAGCAGATTGGCCTCAAGATTGCTCACTGGAGATACATGCAGAGACACCTAACCCATGAATGCTATTGCACTACAGATACTCTGATATTATGTGACTGTTGATCAGAGCAGCCTCTCTGTGTATTGAAAACAAATATTTAATTTCTTATTAAAAATGCCATAAAAAATTGTCACTAGCTCAAAAACCATTTGTCTAATTTTAATTAAATTTGGTACTGCACTCAGCAGAGCTCCAAGGTGCAATATACTCCTAAATTAGATGGGGTATTATGCATTATTTAAGCTGAATCTCTGGAACGTACATACATACATACATACATATTTATGAGATTAGCATTATATAGATAAATGTCAAGTGACAGGACCCAAAGAGTGTGAGTTCAATACCCGGTTAAGGCAGTGGAGAACTTTCAGAAGGAAATTAACAGGAGATAACTGATAACTGACATCTATCAACCATGGCACGTGGAATTAGAACAGTCTACTCCAGTGAGTGAAATAAAGGGTTCAGTTCGACATTCCAACCACCTGAAGAAGACCAGAGCATACAACGGCCGAAACGTTGTGATAAATATGGTGACAAAGATGAGGACAATAGTCCAAATAATGTAAATAATGTACATAATACCTCATCTCAGAAATATAGACAAAATATCAGAATGTTTAAAAACTTAAAAAATTTTGAGGGTTGCTTTTCTGCTTTTCTGCAATTAAACTAAAAGTAATAATTGTTTCGTTCAGATTAATTAAACGTTAAATCAGCTAATTTTTCTTAAAGTTTCAGTAAAGTGTATTTAATTTGTGAAAGATTTTTTTAATAAAGAGAATTATGTTATATTGACAGATTTGGCAATATGGAAAATTTTAATTGATTTTACTGTGTTACGACCCTCTCCTCTCCCCTGCTAAATTGATAGCAGAAAGAGAGAAGGATCGCAACACACACACACACACACAAATATTAATACAAATTTCTTTCTCCAAGGGTCTCTTTCCAATTGATCAGACACAGCCGAACAGAACTGATTAAGGAACAAGCGTGATGGCCGACAAACGACAGAAAACCAGATATAGAAGCAACAATTAATATATTTTTATTATCAAAATATACAAACGGTGAGAAAATGAAAGATGGTTAAAACCAAAAACAATAAGTAAAAAATGAACATTGTGGAACTGAATCCTCTCAAAAAGTTACATTAGAGATCAACATATGATTTTGTGCCACACTTGCACGAATTTACAAAACATGAAAAGGTAAAACAAGCAGAGAGAAACATGTAATACGATAGATCCCATGCCAGGCTTGCATGAAACTACAAAAAACACGAAAAGATACATTAAGCAAAGTGAAAACGTGTAAGAGAAACAATGAACTTATAAAAGTTCTTCTTTTTCTTTAAGTATTTCTTCTCTCCTTTTTTTTTCTCTCTTTGATGTCTTTTCTCTCTTTCTCCTTTCGTTTGGTCTTGAATTTCCCTTGAGGTCTTTTCTCTTTCTCTTTTCATATAAGTGTCTCTTTTTGAGGTCTTTTCTCTCTTTCTTTTTTTCTGTCTGGTGACGAATCAATTGAAGCTGCCTTCTTTTTCTTAGCTTTCATGCTAGTACATATCTTCTTTCGTCTTGATGTAACTGCTTTTCTCGCACGCCTGAGTTTGTTTCCTTGAATCAAACTGTTGAATCCTTTTGGTTTCGAGATCCTGTTAGATTTCTATACTTTTTCACATATCGAAATCGATAGCTGGTTGTCGCAATTATAGCTGGCCGTCCATTTGAAGAGGGACTTTTTTTCCGCATGACCAATTTTATAGCTGACTATCACAGTCAGCCGTCTGTCCATTCAGTCCGAAGATCGAAGAGGGACTCACTTTCGCACATAAAGGTTAATTTGTTTGCAGTATAAGCACCAAAAGTCCCCGGTGTTGAGAATGTACCATTTTGGTGTGAAATTGTCTGGTTATTCCGAAAATGACATTAAAACATTGTGCTCGATTACCATTTAGAAGTTATGGAAGATGTAAGTTCAACTTCTTTCTCGTTGAGTACTGTGGGGAAAATTGTGAAAATGGCCTACCTCGGAAACGCCCGTGAATCTGTGCGTCGTGCAAACTCCGGTTGCTCAACGGCAAAAGAACCAAAATGGTGGCACCCATGTTTTATGCCAGGAAGTCTCGGACAGTTAACGCGAAATCTCGTTGTCTTGTCATTCGCATGCAAATCATGGTCGGTCCTCGGCTGTATAAAGCAGGCGCATTTTTGTTTCTGAGGACTGGGTTTTTTTGCTTGTGAGAAGGTTGGATGTGTGACACTGTTTTGTCGGTTACCCTCCTCGCATTTTTCCTATCTGTTACTATCAGTTGAGTTGTTGCTTTACCACCACATGTACACACAGAACGTCCGCTATTACTGGTTTTATTAACATAAGTTTACCTCGAGTAGTCATGTGGCACGGAAGCTTCACGTGTTTTGATTACTGCACAAAATAATATAAAATCCAACAATTAAAATAAAGTAAAATAAAAATTCTGTGTCTGTAAAGTAAAAAAGAAAGGAATTTCCTTCTTTTCAACGACATTTTTTTTGTGTGACATGAAAATTTCTTGAATTTAAAGCTTCATAAATTACATTTTAGCGTGAGATTCTGTTTCATTCGCTATAAGCAGATTTATTAAGGACAATAAAGAAAAATACTATTCATTTAAAACTTCATTTTACAAAATAAGTGCATTTTAAAATAATGTATAACATTGTATTCATTTGTGTATTGATGTACATGCGTAGAAGTTAAATGGAGTTATGTCTTTTAGTCTTAGACTGGGAATATTTTTATCGGAGCTTACGAAGTTGAATTAATTATTAAACTGTAGTTTTAGAAGAATAAAGTTCTTGTTGCATGTTTGGAAATGTTCTGTATGTTTGTAATGTAGGTTGGAAAAGTTCATAAGAGCTTGTACGTATGTGAATGCGTGAAATATGATTTAACGTCTGACCGTCATGGTCGAGACGATAATTCTCTGCGACTACATTTTGCAATAAGAAGAGAGAAAAAAAGAGAAAGAGGCAAACTCGTGTTTGCTATTTATAGATAATGTAATCACGTGACATGATCACAGCACCTTGGCGGGAAACTTGACTTAGTCGCGCACTGGGAAAATATATTGTGCGTAGGTGGATTGCAACGCCCGTGTGTTTATTGACCAATTAGCAAGCGAATTTTGGGGAGACCTAAGAAAGCCTCTGGGATCCGATTCTCCCAAAAGTTCACAAAATCGACTACATGAAAATATAGCGATTATAAAATTGTCGCATTGCTGCGATTTGTAAATAGTCTATTACACAGTGTTGATTTATTATCCAATGATTGCTTGTTGTTGTATAATTTGAATTTGTGTAAGTATGTGTGTCATGATGATAATTACAATAACATCCGTGAAAATCGCACAGTCAGACCACTACGAAAAGCTGTAAAAAGTCTGCGTATTATGACTAGAGGAAAAAAAAATGTAAACAATGTCAGTAATGGCTGCCGGACAATGCGAAAGAGATCGAACTTACATTGACGATAAGTCAAAAACAGTAATTGAGTTAACATCATTTTCGAAATAACTAGGTAATTTCACACCAGAATGGTACATTCCCAATGTCGAGGGCTTTTGGTGCTTATATTGCAAATTAACCCATCCAAATACTTCTTTCGCATATCCAGCTCTCTAGCTGACTATCGCAGTCATAGCAGACTTGTCCTTCCAGTCCGAAGACCGGAGAGGGACTTTTTCACATTGTTACAAGATGAGATCTTGCTCTGCTTCAATAAATGGAAGTTACCATCACGAGTCCCCGACTCGAAATGAAAACTGCACGTCTACGCATAGGCTTGATGCAGATACTTCCGTTTGGGATAAATTAAAAAAAAAATGAAAAGAATTAAATCAACCAATCGGACCGTCTCCCGCGTATTCAAGAATTCACCATTTGGAGCCGATAGGCGTGTATAAGTTCAACACGGGAAAGTCAAAAAGGGCAGTCCCATTCAATGGCGGAGGCAGAAGGCTCACATCGCTCGCTCCTGACACACTGGCCCGACGACGAAATGAAGCATGTGACCGCTGCTGCTAATGAACTCTCGTCCGACGCCTTGTCAAAGGGTACCTTTCCCCTTCCATAAGTCAAGTTAACTCCACGAGCAAGTAAAGTTAGTGGAGTTAACTTGACTTGCCACTACCATAGACATTCAACTTCTTAAATACGAACTTTTTACTTGTTCTTATTTTCCTCACTAAAAAGACTATAAAATATATCTACAGTCTTTCTTGTTCTTTCGATTCTGAATTTCATTGTTTGCAACCAAACGCAGTATTTCGCCCACATTGTTTTCACATCGCCCACGTAACTAAATACGGAATATAACAACATGACCAAATTCATAACAGACTGTCGCATTTGTAGCGGACCCATCCGTCCAGCCCAAAGGCCGGAGAGGGACTAACATTTTTGTTGCTTCTTTTTTCGTGCCTTTATTTCGGCATGTGACCCACGATTTCCAAATATGAATTTTATCTGTGTGGGCGAAAAGAAGTCACTTTCTTCTGCTGTGTTTCAGAGAGTTCAAGATCATTTCATTGTCTGGATTACATCCAGTTGAATCATATCACCTACACGTGATCAAGAAAAAGAAAGCATACAATCTTTGCTCAAATGCATGCAAGTCTGATTAAAATTTGTTAATATTCAATTTTACTTTACTTTATTTCTTTTTCTTTTCTTTTCTATTTTTACGCTCTCTGTGAGTAATGACTTTATTTAGAATTATTCTAAATTAAAATATAAGCATTAAACTTAGATGAAGGTTTGTAACAAAACAAGTGTTAGAGGAAAAATTGTTCCAATCAATTTAAATTCGATTTTAATTTCAGCAAAGTATTTTGCTTATTGGAAATATTAAATTAGCTTAGAATGGAAAATAAAATAAAATCTTCAAGAAAGATTTTTCATCTTTCTAAATACATTTTTAGTTTTAGGTATCACTTTTTTTTAGGTCCCTAGCTTTAAGTATTAAAGTCTTGTTTCACACTAATGTAAGGGAGAAAACTCTAGCCTCTTCGGCTATAATTCATTTTTTGAGTTTTCTCTCTTGCATTAAAGTGTTCTAATATCCTCTTTGCACATTACGTTTTTGGCATACAAATATACTATTTTTGCGTTAACTTATTGTAGGAAGAAATGAATGAGGGAGGTAAAAAAAAGAAAAAAAAGTCAAGTGTGGCGTTCACCGACAGACTGAATCTTCTTCGTCTGCTTCTTCACACGCTTAAAGGAAATAGATTCTGGGGCTCTGTTTCTTTTCCACCACACACTGGGCACTTTACAGTTGACAAAGTCAGTCGCATCTCTTTTACCTTTTCTCCTGTCAATCCATTCATCAGACTAGCAAATTTGCCCTAGAAAGAAATTCACTTGCTTTTTATGTCTCCTCAAGCAGGCCAGAATTTGCATATGTGCAAATCTCATCTCATCTCGTAGAGATAAGACAAACGCTCATAAATTGCGCCTCCAAGAGTGGCCATATTTTCTTTTCAGCACTTTGCATGCAAGACATGTCTGTGCTCGTTTTGATCTCCGAGATAAGTAATTTTTTTTGTCACAACACACATTACTACTACACTCCCCCCATTAGATCTCATGATCACATATGGTATAACCAGAGGACAGTCTCTTGTGTCATGTGCTTCTTCTCAGGGGTATAGCCACAGGGTTTTTGTCAGACGAGTCATCAGAAGAAGAGGTGTTGGCTGCATCTATGCTGGGGCGGGTGTATCTGGCATTTTTCCAACAGTTATAACTCTTTCACTCTCTGAAGACATGTCAGAGCAGTCTGTTGGAGGGCCTGGTCCAATCATAGGCCACAGATCTTTGACATGGTGTGGCATTCCATCAATCAAGATATTCTGTGCACTTGTAACTCTGGTGACACACCCAACCTTGTATTTGGTCGTACATCGCTCATGGGGGACTTTTACCCACACTTGGTCACCCATTTTGAAGACAGCCTGTTGTTGGTCAGCTGTCAGTGCTGACATTCCATCAATCTGTTTCAGCCATATGCAATAGCAATGAATCATATTGGCTGGTGCTGTAGGGGGTGATATGTCATCCTTTGGAGTGACATTGTACCAGTACAATGCTTCTGATATAGCACACTGTTTTCTGGCAGTGATCCTTTTCAGTCCTGTGGCATTGCTTGATGATGCTGTTACCAGAGGGAATGTACACACAACAGAACCAGAGTTGGACTTCCCACTTCTTCAGGGAATTCTTAAACAAGCTGCTGTGAAAGGCGGCTTCATTATCCGTCAAAATTTCAGCTGGTGGGCCCTGCTCATAAAACAGTGCTTTCAAACACGCTGATCATGCTTGCTACATTCTGCTGGTGGAGACATCGCCTCGCCAGATGGTAAACCGAGTGAGCCACAATCAATTAATGTCAAAAAAAGGGTAATGTCCATTGATACCTGGTGCCATGTCTCATCAATATCTAGAGCACCCTCTGGCCAGTGCACAGGT